AGGAAGCAGGAAGAGGGACAGAGAGAAACTCCGCTTTGGAGGTTTCAGATCCCTTCCCAGGCCAGAGACCCATGGAAAATGATGGACAGGCCGACCCCACCCTGCCCCTTCCCTCCCTGATACCCAGCTCTGCCCCTTGGAGCCCATCCCCCTTCCCCTCTGCCCCAGATCCCCCCAGCATCCCTCACCTAGCTGGGCTCCTTCCCACAGGAAGGCTCCAGCTCCAGCCTGTTCTTGCACCCTAGGGAGACAGGGCGTGGCTTGTGGGGAAAAGGGTGGAGGGGGTAGGCTGTGTCTGTGCGCAGGGAGAGTGACAGAGGTGGAAAGGGCTTACCTGGCTTCTGAAGTTTCGTGCCCTCTCCAGTGCCTGGAGAGATGGGAGCAGGTGAGGTACCCATGTCACACCCCTCACAAGGGGCCTCTTCCAGATCCAGCATCTGCCCCCTCACCTGGTGCCCATGCCAACCTGCCCTACCTGGTCCATGGCCAGACGGAACTGTGGGGCTTGTGGAGAGGCATGGGGAGAGGCTGGGGTGTAGAAGGGGGCTGGCGCCTGTCCCCCCCAATTTAGGAAGTGGAGCTCTGGGCATCTCCCTCCACCTTGTGCCATCTCCACTCCAGAATCTACCCCCTCTAAGGCTGCGGGAGCCCCCAAAAGAACCCTCAGAGGCCCCCACCTCTCTCCTCCTCTCTGTAACCCCAGCAACCCCAGCCCCCCAGTACCTGTTCTGTAGCCATTCTGGGCTGAGGGGCCTGTGGGGAGGGAGGGGTGAGCAGGGGTTTGGGATTCTAGATGAGGTTGGGGCATAGGGCCTGTGGCTCCCCCTTCAGAGCCAAGTCAGAAAGCAGGAGTCCTGGAGCCACCCCTTCTCCCTCAATTTGGTGCCCACCTGCCCTGGAGGCCTGGAAGGGAGGCAGGGACAGCCGCCTCCACACCCCTCAGTGGCTGGGCTCCCAGCTCTCTCCTGAGTCCCAATGGAGCCGAAGTGGGATGTGAATGAGGGAGGGAGCTCAGGGTTTGGGGGAGGCAGAGGGACAGGCCGAGTGGGCTCACCTGGTTTTTGGGGCTTCATGACCCCCACAGAGCCTGGTGGAGAGACAGGAAACAGGTGAGGGACCCAGGGTCTCTGCCCTGGGCCTCCTGGAACCCCAGCCCTGCCCCTACCTGGTCCATAGCCATTTGGAGCTGCCAGGCCTGTGGGGCAGAAAGGGGAGCATGGTAAGGCTGAGCCTGATGGGGACCTCCAGGAAGGGGCCCTTGGTCTCTCCCCCACCTCCTCTCCCTGCAGTCCTTGATGCGCCTACAGACCTCTCCTCGCTCAGGAAGCAGGGGTCACCCCTCCCCTGGGAGTCCCATGCAGACCCAGCTTGAATACCGTGGGCTAGGGGAGGTGGGGCCACAGATGCCGGCAGTCCCCTCACCTGGCATCTGAGGCTTCATGCCCGCTCCTAGACCTGGGAGAGACAGAGAGGCTGATGTCAACTCCAGCCAAAGCTGTCGACCTCCGGACCCCGGCCCTTTGTCTCTGTGGCCCCGGCTTCTCTCCTCCCGCCCTACCTCCTGACCACTTGGGCGCCAGGGCCAGCTGCCCTCACCTGGCTGGACTCCAAGCCCATTTTTCTGGCCATAACCTGAGGGAGAGGGACGGGGTGAGTGTGAGACGGCGGCATGCAGAGAGGGCATCAGGAGGAAGCAGCTCGGCTATGAGAAGCCCTAGAGACGGGGCAGGGGGGCCAGAGCCCTCCCCCACCTGTCTTCTGAGGCTTCACTCCCCTTCCCAGGCCTACAGAGAGAAACGGAGGTGGAACCACACCGGGCTAGCCAGTGGCACCCATTTCCCCAGGATTCAGACCCACACGCTGTCCTCCTGGTCCCCTGGCTGCTCCTGCGTTCCCCATTCCCTCCAAGAAGCCTGGGTTAGGCTGGGTGCAGTGGCTCATGCTTGTAATCCCAGCACTTTGGGAGGCTGAGATGGGTGGATCATCTGAGGTCAGGAGTTCAAGACCAGCCTGGCCAATATGGTGAAACCCCATCTCTACTAAAAATACAAAAATTAGCCAGATTTGGTGGCAGGTGCCTGTAATCCCAGCTACTCAGGAGGCTGAGGCAGGAGAATCACTTGAATCAGCAGACAGAGGTTGCAGTGAGCTGAGATTGCACCACTGCACTCCAGCCTGGGTGACAGAGCAAGACTCCATCTCAATAAATAAATAAATAAGCCGGGTGCGGTGGCTCAAGCCTGTAATCCCAGCACTTTGGGAGGCTGAGGCGGGTGGATCACGAAGTCAGGAGATCGAGACCATCCTGGTCAACACGGTGAAACCCCGTCTCTACTAAAAATACAAAAAATTAGCTGGGCATGGTGGCGCGTGCCTATAATCCCAGCTACTCAGGAGGCTGAGGCAGGAGAATTGCCTGAACCCAGGAGGCGGAGGTTGCGGTGAGCCGAGATCGCGCCATTGCACTCCAGCCTGGGTAACAAGAGCGAAACTCCATCTCAAAAAATAAATAAATAAATAAATAAATAGGCCGGGCATGGTGGCTCACACCTGTAATTCCAGCACTTTGGGTGGCCAAGAAGGGCAGGTCACCTGAGGTCAGGAGTTCAAGACCAACCTGACCAATATGGTGAAACCCTGTTTCTGCTAAAAAAAAAAATATATATATATATATATAGAAATTAGCCAGGCGTGATGTCAGGCGCCTGTAATCCCAGCTACTCAGGTGGCTGAGGCAAGAGAATCACTTGAACCCGAGAGGCAGAGTTTGCAGTGAGCCGAGATCACACCACTGCACTCGAGCCTCGGTGACAGAGCAAGACTGTCTCAAAAAAAAAGAAAAAAAGGCTGGGCTCCTGCTCCAGGTGTCGTCACCTGGCTGGGTTCTGGCCCCAGGTAAGGCCCCTGCTCCCCACATCTTCCCATATCCTGGAGAAGGAGAGGGAGTATGAGCCGGGTGCTTCTGGCTTCAGGGGTGCGTGCATAGAGAGGCAGAGTAGGGCGGGGCTCACCTGGCCTCAGAGGCTTTACAACCCCCGCCAAGGCCTGGAGATATGAGGCCCGGGAGCAACTCAGGGGCCGCACCCACAGTTTCCCCCGACTCCTTCCTTACCCCTGCTCTTACCTGCTCCAAATCCAAATCCATTCTGGGCTGTCAAGACTGTGGGGAGAGGAGGGTGGGGTGGGGATTTGGGGTGTGGTTGAGGCGGAGGTGAGGGAATCCTGGAGGCTCCTCCCAGCTGCCCTCAGTTATTCAGCATCTCGGCTGTGAGACTGGGGAGGGAGGCAGGAAGAGACGCCCCAGGAGCAGACCCCCAGACCCCACCTCTCTCACCTGGCTGAGCACCCAGCCCATTCCCACTCCCATTCCCGAATCGTGGGGGACAGATGGAGGTGAGGATGAGAGGGGGCAGAGGGCTCTGAGAGTTGGGGAGACAGAAGCTCAGGGGAGATTCAGGCTCACCTGGCCCCTGTGCCTTCACACCCCTTCTAAACCCTTCAGGAAAATGGGGAGCAGATGAGGTACCCAGGAGCCCTCAGCTCACATCTACCTCAGAACCCCAGCATCGAGACCCTAGCTCCTCCCATCCTCTCAGGACCTGCTCTGTGGCCATTCTGAGCTGGGGGGCTTGTCAAGGAGGGAGGGCTGAGCTAAGCTGGGGGCACAGCGCCTAGAGTTCTCCTCCAGGGCCAAGCCAGAAGCCAGTGATCCTGGAGATGCCCTGCCATCCCTCTCCAATCCCACCCCTGGGAGGAAAAGGCCACCTAGATGTGGACCCTGGAACCCCAAACTCTATCCCCTTCGCGTGGCTGGGCTCCCAGCCCAGTCCCATACTACAGTCCTGGGGGAATAGATCAAGGCGGGTATGAATGAGGGGAAGGAGCTCAGGGTTGGGGAGGCAGAGGGACAGGCCGGGGCAAGGCTCACCTGGTTTCTGTGGTTTCACACCCCCGACATAGCCTGGTGGAGAGACACGGAGCAGGTGAGGAACCTGGGGCCCCAGCTCTAGGCCTCCCCAAACCGCAGCCCCACTCCTACCTGGTCCATGGCCATTTTGAGTGGCGGGGCCTGTGGAAGGAGAGAAAGGGTTAAGGCCCTCAGGAGCCCTGGATGCCATCTCCAGCCACCTGGGGCAGGGGTGTCACCACCTCTGACTTCAACCAGCTGGAAAGGTGGGTTCCTCTCCTCAGCAGCCTGCAGCTGTCAGGCTCCAGCTCCTGCCACCCTGGGTCTTGAGCTCTTGCTGGAGTCTGTACCCTCTTTGTTCAAAATTCTTTATTTTAATTTTTTTTATTTTTCATGACTCTTCCCCTCTCTCTCTCTCTATTTTTTGAGACAGGGTTTCACTCTTATCGCTCAGGCTGGAGTGCAATGGCGTCATCTCGGCTAATGGCAACGGCTGCCTCCCAGGTTCAAGCAGTTCTCCTGTCTCAGCCTCCCGAGTAGCCGAGATTACAGGCATGTGCCACCACGCACAGCTAATTGTTTTGTATTTTTAGTAGAAATGGGGTTTCCCCATGTTGGTCAGGCTGGTCTCGAACTCCTGATCTCAGATGATCTGCCCAATTTGGCTTCCCAAAGTGCTGGGATTACAGGCATGAGCTACCACGCCCGGCCATTCAAAACTCTTTTTGGTCCAGTTTCTCAGAGTATTGGGCCATTCTCTCCTCCCTGGCCTCCACTGTCTCCTGCCCAGAACACCCAGGGCCGGGCTCTGGGGCAGCCTCAGCCCACATTTTATGTCCCAGCGTGGCCCTGGTTTGGGGAGGGCCTGTCCCCAGCACCTGGTTGGCTCAGAACAGGCATGGTCTATGGATTTGTTTGTTTTTTGAACAGGGCCTCCCTCTGTCATCGGGGCTGGAGTACAGTGGCAAGATCTCCAGTCACTACTGCCTCGACCTCTTGGGCTCAACTGGTCCTCCCCTCTCAGCCTCCAGAGTAGCTGAGATGACAGGCATGTGCGACCACACCTGGCTAATTTTTGTGTTTTTTTTATAAGTGGATCCCTTGAGCCCAAGAGTTCAAGGCCAGTTTGGGAATGTTGCCCATGGTGGTCTTGAACTCTTGGGCTCAAGTGATCCACCTGCCTCCGCCTCCCAAACTGTTGGGATTACAGGCGTGAGCCACGGCTCCAGGCCTGGATTGGTTTGTTGAAAGAGGTGTGTTGTGTGAGACGAAGCTGAGGGGCTAGAAGGTGGTGCTCACCTGCTGTCTGAGGCTGTAGTCCTCCTCCCAGGCCTGGGAAGAGAAGGGGAAGGAGTCCGTGCAAGTCCACCAGGCCCTTCTTCTCCGTTCAGAACCAGGGCCAGGCCCCCACCCCCATCAGTAACCCCCAACCCCTAAGACCTCCATGCTTCCACAACTCCAGGGCCCCACCTGCCTGGGTTTCAGCTCCCAGGAAGCCCCGGCTCCCCACCCATTCCCATTCCCACATCCCAGGGAGACAGAGAGAATGCGGAGATCCGGGACTCTGGGGAAGCAGCAGCAGATGCACAGGAAATGGGCAGGGAGACAGGGACAGGGTGGGGCTCACCTGGCTTCTGGGGTTTTCCACCCCCTCCAAAGCCTGGGGGGATGATGGGAGCATGAGGGATCCTTTCCTCTGGGCCTGCGCCCAGAATCTCAGCCCCAGGCTCCCTGCTTCCGTCCCCACCCTCTTTTCCTGGTCCAAAGCCATTTTGAGCGGCAGGACCTGTTTGAGGGGCAGAGACGGCATTGTGGAGGCGCTGCAGTGGGAATGAGCTGGGGCCTGGAGCCCTGCCCTCTCCCCTTCTGTCTCGTGGCCTCTGCCCTCTCTTGGTCTGTCTTGTGTGAATTCCCTCCCGGGACTGACCGCAGTCGTGGCTGGATTTGGCTCTTGGCCTGGGAGTCCAGACCGTGGCCACCCTTGACCAGCTGGAGTGTCCTCCCTGCCCAGCTGAGGCCTGGCTCAGGGTGGGTGGGTGCTCAGGGGAGATTGGGTGAATGAATGAACCCCCAAGAGCCCATCGGGGACCCAGAATATGGCCCCGGGCCCCTGACCTCTTCCTCCCAGCCACCCCAGCCCCTTTGCCCCCCACCTGGCTGGGTTCCTGGGCTGTTTCCATTGCTGTATCCTGGGAGGAAAAGCAGTGTGTGAGGGGTGGATCTGGGGAGGACTTGAGGGTGGGACAAGGCCAGAGATGTGGGGGCCACAATCAAGATGGGGGAGGGGAGAGCAGGGGCTCTCCCCAAGAAATCAACTTTCTGCCCTCTGGACTTCTAACATCCCCTATCTCTTCTCTGTGTCTCCTTCTAGAATCCCAGCTTAGTCCAGGTGCCCTCACCTGGCTGGGCTCCAGCTCCCAGGAAGTCCCCAGCTCCCTTCCCATCCCCGTCACCAGATCCTGGGAGACCTGGTGGAAGGAGGAAGCGGAGACCGGGCTGATGTGTGTGCATGGGGGAGTGGAGGGCAGGGACCCAGGACAAGGCAGGCACACCTGGCTTTGGAGGGTTCACCGCCCCCCATGCCAGGAAAAGGGAGACCAGGGAAGGGAGCCTGCAGCTCCCTCCAGCCCCCAGACCCAAGCCCAGGCCCTCAGCTCCACCCCACCCTCCCTGGCCTGGTTTTGGGCCTGTGGGGTGCAGTTCTGTGGTCTAAACACCACCCCAGCACCACTGTGTTCCATGCCCTGACAGTTCTCGAAGGGCATGTGCCCAGAGGGCAGCTCAAAGGCCTCCCCAGGAGTCTCCAGTCACAGGCATGGCATCAGCAGGCCACAAAGGGACCAGTGCCTGGGGAGGGTAACAGACTGAGAGGGGGACAGAGAGGGATGGGACACAGCGAGCGTGGCAAGGAGGCAGCACAGGAGCGGGGTCATCCCTTCACCCGCTTCTGAGCTTTCCTCTCCCCCAGGCCTCGGGAGAGCTAGAAAGAGGCCGACATTGACCCCAAGAACCCCTCCCCTAAGAATGAGGGTTAGGACCCCGAGCCCTCCTGCCTGCCCCTCCCTGTGACCCCCGCACAGCCACCCTTGGGTGTGAGAGAAAGATGGGGAGACAGAACCTGGTGGGGTTCCTGCCCCTGGAAGAGTGCCAGCACCCAAACCACTTCTGCTCACCAATCCTGGGGAGACAGAGGCGAGGGCCATGAGCTGTGGGGTGGGCAGGCTTGGGGGACACAGAGGCGCCCGGATAGAACTGGGCAGGGTGGGGCAGGGCTCTACCGCACCTGGCATCAGAGGTTTCACGCCCACTGCTGGGCCTGGGAAGGGACAGAGTGGCTGAGCCCTGCCCACCCTCCAGAGCCCAGCTCTCCCAGCCTCTGCTTCCCTGACTCTGCTATACCCACTCCTCCTCCCTCCCAGAATCCCAGAGTCTGCCCCACCTGTCTGTGTCCTCACCTGGCTGGGCTCCAGCCCCTGGGAAGGCCCCTGTTCCCAGCCCGTTTCCATATCCTGGGGAGACAGAGCCAGAGGGACATGAGGTGGAGGGGGGCGGACACGGGCGTCAAGCGGAGACAGAGACAGACAGTGGGAAGTGGACGTTAGGACAGGGTTTCACAGCCCCTCCAAAGCCTGGGAAGAGAGATGGGCAGATGAAGGAGCCAGTGTGTCCCAGAACTCCTTGTGGTCCCCTTCCTGCCCATCCCGTGAGGCTCCCACCTGTTCTGCCTTCTCTGAGGCCTGGGGGAGCCTGGAGAGGACCTCAGAAATGCTGATCTCGCTGCATCCCTTCCCCCACAGCATCAGGCAAGATTAGGCACCTCCACGCCCCTCCCATGTCCCTACCGCTCCCCCCACCTCACCCGGCTGGGCTGCAGCACCTGGGAAGGTCCTGAACCCTGGGGCGAGAAGGCAGGAAGGAGTCAGGAAGACCGATGGAGGGGGGACAGGGTGCAGGCAGGGCTGGGCGAGGCTCACCTAGGTTCTGGGGTTTCATGCCCCTTTCAATGCCTAGGAGAGAGATGAGGATCAGATGAGGGGCTCAGGAATCCCCATGCCAGGGATACCTGTAGAATACTGCCTTCCAGCTCCCCAACTCCCACCTCTACCTGCTCTGTAGCCATTCTGAGTGGAAGGGCCTGTGAGAGAGGGAGAGGTGAGCTGAGGAGGTTTGGGGTCCCAGCTGTGGTGGGGGTACAAGACCCTTGGACCCCCCGTGGACTAAGCCAGACAGCAGAAAATCTGAGCAGCTCCCTGTGCCCCTCTCCCCATCACTCTCCAATCCTGCCTTTTCCCTCTGTGGCTTGGGAGAGAGGCAAGGAGGGGACCCTATGGCTGTCACCTGGCTGGATTCCCAGGCCATGCCTGATCCTGAATGCTGGAGAGACAGTTGAGGTTAGGTGAGGGGTGTGAGAGAAAGCTGGGGCAGGAGAGCTGGGGCCAAGGCAGGGCTCACCTGGCTTCTGTGGGTTCACACCCCCTTCATAGCCTGGAGAGACAGGGAGCCGGTGAGGGACACCCTCTCCCAGGCTCTCCCCAGAACCCCCCACCTGCTCATAGCCTTTCCACGCAGCTTGCCTGTGGGAGCTCAGTCCCTTCCCATGAGGGTGGAGGGCTGCCGAGCACAGGCGGTGCTTTCAGCCTCCTGCCTTCCCTCCTTCCCTCTCTCCTTCCTTTCCTTCCTCCTTCCTTCTCTCCTTCTTTCCTTCCCTCCCCTTTCCTTTTCTTCCTGCCTACCTTCCCCTCTCCCCAGCCAGGATGCCTGGGGGACACTCCGGGGCTCAGCTCTGTCCCCACCTATTTCTTTTTCTTTTCTTTTTTTTTGAAACAGAGTCTTGCTCTGATGCCCAGGCTGGAGTGAAATGGCATGATCTCAGCTCATTGCAAACTCCGCCTCCTGGATTCAAGCGGTTCTCCTGCCTCAGTCTCCCAAGTAGCTGGGACTACAGGCACATGCCATCATGCCCGGCTACTTTTTGTACTTTTAGTAGAGACAGGGTTTCACCATGTTGGCCACGCTGGTCTCGAACTCCTGACCTTGTGATCCACCCGCCTCAACCTCCCAAAGTGCTGGGATTACAAGCGTGAGCCACCTCACCTGGCCTGTCCCCCTATATTTCTGAGATGACTGCTTCCCCCTTTTCCTCTCCACCTCCCAACGCAGCTTTCCCTGCTCCTGCCCTCCTGCCCCAAACACCCCTCTCGAGCCCTGCCCTCAGACTCCTCCCTTCCCTATGCCAGGCCTCACCTGCTCCCAGACCATTGCGGGGACCATAGGCTGTCAGAGAAGTGAGATGTTGAGCCCAGGGTACTTGAGCAGCTGGGAGCCAGTGTACCCCCCTCCCCGAGCACCCCCTACAAGCTTTACCTGATCGGTAGCCATTTGGACTCTCTAAGCCTGTGGGGTCCAGGGAGAAGTGGGAGAACTTAGGAGGGGACAAAGGGGCCCAAATCTGGATGCCATCCACCTCTCTGGGCCTCAGTTTCCCTGCTGTCACAGGAGGGTAGAAGGCAGAGCCTGTGAGCAGTCTGGGGCCAGGGTAGTGGAAGCTGGAGGGCCCCTGGGCCTGGAGGAAGGTATCTGAGCTGGGGCCCTGGGGGGCTGTGGGGCAGGCCCACTCCAGCCTCTTCCTCACCTCTCCCATCCAGTCTCTGTACTGGGCTCCCCTCCCTGGAAATCTCCTCCTCTTCTCACCCCTGACCGCCCCCCCTCCCATCCTTCTCTTCTGAAGCTCAGATGCATCAGGGCTCAGGGGAAGCCTCTCCTCCTACCCTTAGGACCCCCCATGTCTCTGGAGTAAAGACCCTTCCATGACACTCGGCCTCCTGCCTGGGCTCTCCTTGTCCCCTCCCTGCTGTCCCCCTTCAGGCTGCTGGGAAGCCTTCCCCTCCTGTCACACCCTCGACCCTTCTGAGCCAGCGCAGGCCCCTCCTCAGGGCTGCATGTTCTGCCTGGGGGACTCTTTCCAGAGTGCAGGGTGTCTGTGCCCCCCCCACCCTTGAGTGGACACTTGATAAGACTCCCTTCCCAGAAGACAGCAAGGGCCCTCAGCTCTCCTGGGCCTGCCATCAGGAGTCCCAGAGAGCTCCCACACCCCCAGGGCAGGAGAGATGGGGCCTCTTCCCTGACACCAGTGCCAGAGGGGCCACCTACCTTTCCGAAGGCCAGGAGGCAGCAGGGGCAGCCCTGGGCAAGTAAGAATGTGCTGACTCAAGGCTGGGGACCCCAGAGGCTGAGATGGGGCAGGGCCCAGGCATCTATCCTCCAGCTCCCCCAAAACCCTTGATGTCTGAGTTCTCTGCCCAGACCAGGCCAGGCTTCCCACACCCCAGCCCTCCTGGTCTCCAGGACCCCAGCATCCAGCCAGGGCCTCACCAGGACCTCCAGCCCTGGTCACAAGATGCCTGCCCTCCAACCCCCAGCCTTGAGCTGCCCTCACCACCTTGCAAGCTCTCGGGAGTCAGGCTGAGAAGGAAAAGAGCCGCAGGGAAGATCCAGGTGCCCATGACTCTGTGCAGGGTGGGAAGGCCCCCACCCTTTGGACTTTTAAACACCCCTGGTTGGGTGGGGACCCTCGCCCAGGCGCCCCAGCTTCGAGAGGCAGAGGCTCTGCCTGCAGACCCTGGGGGGTCAGCCCCGCACCTCCCCCTGTGGCAGAAGTCTAGCTCTAGCCCCTCATCCATCATGGGCACTGACAGCGGGACAGGCCCCCTGCCTGGCCTCTGAGACTTCTCCACCCCTGTCAGCGACTTAGGCCCTGGCGCCAGGCCCAGAGGGCTCAGATGTCCACCCAGTAAGGGGCAGGCAGGCACCCTAGGCCCAGCCCAAACACAGCTGGGGAGAGGGCGGGAGCTAGGGCCAGAAAAGCTGGGGCTGCAGAGTGTTGCAGACAACAGGGGTGGAGGTGACAGCTTCTCAGACCCTATCTGACAGGCGGGTGGCGTCCCCAACAAAAGCCAGGCATCATCCCGTCTAATCCTGAGACTGCACAGACCTCTCCTGGGGGGCCCTTTGTCTTCATGGAGGCTTGGACTGCAGGAGTGGGCCAGAGCCCCCAACTCCAGAGCCCCCCAATTCCAGGAGGCATAGGGACACACAGGGATGGGCCAGCTGTCGCCAGCCTCTCTGAGAGTCCTTGGAGGCCTTCCAGCTCCTCATCTCCTGCCTCAGCATCGACTGACTTTGGGTCAGACTAGCAGAGCCACTGCTCAGGGTGGCAGTGGGGGGCTGGGAGCAGCTCTCCACGCCTGGGGCTGGGTGGATGGACTTGGAGCCAGAGCCCTGTGCTGGGGGCCTGGCAGGAAGGCGCCGGGTGTGGGGGTCTGGGCAACAGGCACCACCGCACCAGGAGCCTGCAAACCCCACCAGGCTGGCTGGGGATGGCAGTGAGTCAGCCACCAGGCCCTGCACCCTCGTCCAGAAGGCCCCACACCCTGCCTGTCTGCTGGCCTGTCCCCTGCTCCGCCAGCCCCTCCTCAAGCCTCTGGCTAAGGAGTCCAGCCTGCCAAGCCAGGCAGCCCAGCTCGGCTGGGGGTCTGGAGAGGGGCTGCAATGAGGAAGGGCCAGCAGAGGCTTCTCCCAGAGAGGCTGTGGAGCCCACACGTCTGTGGCCGGGTCCAGCGCCAGTAGACTGCAGGGTTACCACCAGGTACCCTCACTCACAGGCCGCCCAGCACTGATGTCCCTGTGTCCCCTCCGTCTCTGCCTCCCCTCCCACCTACATCACAGGCTGCACCCCTCACACCCACAGGCAGACTGAGATGCCCATGGTGTGCACCTCTCCACCACAGACCCACCTTTGCACAAGGCCTGTCTGCTCACAGCAGGCCCCCTCAGCCCAGTGCCTCAGAACAGTGCCCTGAACGCCCCCCTCCTGCCCTGCCTGGCAGCCATGAGTCGGGGTCCCAGAGGCTGGACCTTCAGAGGCTGCTGACGGGCTCAGGGATGCTTCAACCTCATCCATCCCATGAGAGCCCAGGGCAGCAGGGACGGTCCATTCAGACTCCTTGGGAGGGCTTTCCTACCAGGCCACCTGCTCTGCCCATGGCACAGGCACAGGCACAGGTCCCCTGTGTATTCTTGGTGGGCAGCTGAGTGCCCCGTGGCTAGCAGCTAGGTGCTGGATTCAGACGGGGTGCAAACACCGACTCCATCTGTCTCGGGGCCTTACTGAGTGTGTTCACTCTCCCCTGAAAGGACAATACGAGCACCTTGATGTTGGGGCTACTGGGAGGAGCTGCCACTTATCTTCATTTACAGATGGGGAAACAGAGGCAGAGGGGAGGGCACTTGGCTCAGATTGTGCAACTCCTGAGCAGTGGGGCTGAGATCTGAACCGCAGCAGTCTGGCAGTCCCCACGTCTGCTGTCCCTGCTCTCCAGCACCCTAAATGCTTACACACGGGCAGTAGGCCCAGTTATGCCAGACAGCACGAGGTGTCTGCTTCAGACCCGGGACAGCTGAGAGCTCCTACACAGACACATGCCTTGCCCCGCAGGATGCTGGGAAAGAATGGCCCAGGAGGAGGCAGGCAGGAGACCAGGAGGGGCCCTGTGGGAGGTAAAGGATGGGCGCCTGCTTGGCCACTGCCAGAGGGAACACTAGTGCCCGCCGCCACTGCCAGGCTGCCTGGTGCTGGCATGGCCTTGGAAAATGCCAGCCAGCTTAGGGCGTCGGGCCAGCCTGACAGCCACTCAGGAGCAGGCTGGGCCCAGTCAGTGTCCCAGCCCCTGCAGTGCCACCACCCCTACTGCCAGCACAGCCAGGCCCCTCTGCTCACCCCCAGACCCACCCAGGCAGGGCCTGCCTGACAGCGAGGACCATGTGTGGGCCGGGAGAGCCCCTGCTGAAGCCCTGACGTGGACTACCCTTTGCTGCCAGGCATCCTGGCCTGAGGGGTACATAACACAGTGTCTGAACAGAGGAGCAGCTGTGGAGGGCTAGGGCTGGGGCCTCAGGGCAGGACGACAGCAGGCATGTTGGAAGTGCGGGTCCCAGGCCCAGGAAATGCATTACCTAAAATGGCGAGAGACTCCCTGCCAGCTGCTTGACACCAGCAGCACCTGTGAGGGCAGGAATTTGGGGAGGACAGTTGGAGCAGTGGCCAGGCGCCTGCCGGGCGGACACCTTCTGCACTCAGCTGTGAGCCGGGGGTCCTGCCGGCCACTCTGCTTGGGCAGCTCTCCAGTCCAAACCCAAATATTAGAGCCTCTAGTACACCTTCTCAGGCATCCCAAGGCAACTCACACCAGCAAAGCTGACCTGTACGAACTCCTCCCTACCCAGCTGCCAGTTTATTAAAATCTTATGCAATTATTCTGGTGTAGTGTCGGGGGGAAAAAAAAAAGCCTTAAGCAAATGTGGTCAGGCACAGGGGCTCATGCCTGTAATTCCAGTACTTTGGGAGGCCGAGGTAGGAGGATTGTTTGAACCCAGGAGTTTGAGATCAGCCTGGGCAACATAATGAGACCTCCCCCATCTCTACAAAAGATAAAAAATTGCCAGGGTCGGGCGGTGCACCCATGCTTCCAACTTGGAAGGCTGAGGTGGAGGATCACTTGAGCTTGCGAGGTTGAGGCTGCAGTGAACTGATCATACTATTGTCTGGGTGACGGAGTGAGACTCTGTCTCAAAAATAATCAAAAAACCAGGCAGGCACAGTGGTTCGCACCTGTAATCCCAGAACTTTTGGAGACCAAGGCAGGTGGATCGTGAGATCAAGAAATTGAGACCATCCTGGCCAACATGGTGAAATCCTGTCTCTACAAAAATTAAAAAGTTAGCTGCGCGTCATGGCACACACCTGTAGTTCCAGCTTCTCAGGAGACTGAGGCAGGAGAATCACTTGAACCTGGGAGACGGAGGTTGCAATGAGCCAAGATCGCACCACAGCACTCTAGCCTGGCAACAGAGCAACAGTGTGTCTCACAAAAAAAAAGGCGGACACGGTGGCTCACGCCTGTAATCCCAGTACTTTGGGAGGCCGAGGCGGGCAGATCATGAGGTCAGGAGATCGAGACTATTCTGGCCAATATGGCAAAACCCTGTCTCTACTAAAAATACAAAAATTAGCTGGATGCGGTGGCTCGTGCCTGTAATCTTAGCTACTCTGGAGGCTGAAGCAGGAGAATCGCTTAAACCTGGGAGGCAGAGATTGCAGTGAGCCCAGAATGCACTACTGCATTCCAGCCTGTCGACAGAGTGAGACTCCGTCTCGAAACAAAACAAAACAAAACAAAAAACTCTTATTCAATTATGAAATATAGCATGCAAAAATAAGCACATGTGAGATGAGAACGTGCGGTGTAGCAATTGTACTTATGAAACAAACCCCTATGCAGCCAGACCTGGGTCAAGAAATAGAACATGGCCAGGCGCGGTGGCTCAAGCCTGTAATCCTAGCACTTTGGGAGGCTGAGGCAGGTGGATCATGAGGTCAAGAGATCGAGACCATCCTGGTCAACATGGTGAAACCCCGTCTCTACTAAAAATACAAAACATTAGCTGGGCATGGTGGCGCGTTCCTGTAATCCCAGCTACTCAGGAGGCTGAGGCGGGAGAATTGCCTGAACCCAGGAGGTGGAGGTTGCGGTGAGCCGAGATGGTGCCATTGCACTCCAGCCTGGGTAACAAGAGCGAAACTCCGTCTCAAAAAAAAAGAAAAAAGAAAAGAAATAGAACATAGCCAGTTCTGCAGAAGCACCCGTCACAGTCCCCTCCCTCCCATTAGGATAGCCACCTTTG